AAGTGACGACGTGTTATACGTGCTGAGTGGCTGGAGCGAGAGGGCTCGAACGAACGAGACAGCGTGAATGATTACTTAACATATGTATCCTTTTATCTTGCTTTTTGTTTATGTTTATCTATGTCTGTTACGATTTGAGTATTGTAAGTAATGCAAATAAATAAATAAATCTATCTATCTATCTATTAGTAGCTTATTTCCGCAGCTTGGCTCACGTGAATCAGTACCTACATAAAGTATTCTAAGTGCTGTTACGTTATACGTCAAGTAGGTTACTTGTGTACCAAATTTCGTTCAAATCCGTTTAATAGTTTTTGCGTGAAATAGTAACAAACATATTAACCATATATTTGAAGAGGATAGATGAAAGAAGAAAAAGATTTATTAAGCACGAATGAATGGAGATATCGGTAGGGAATACCCTAGACCATATACGTCCGTATGTCGACCAAATAGATGACATGCTGAAGAAGGAGCAAATTAAATGTACCCGTAACCGACGAATTGATGAATGCTAAGGAAGAGAAAGAGTTCTATTTGAATTGAAGCATTTGGCGTTTTATTGTTTTTGCCTACCTCAATGGCAGACAGGCATGATGGATATATTTATTTGTATGTAATAAATATCCATTAATATTTAAAAATATTCATATTTTTAATATAAATAGGATTCTGTGGTCCTACTGTAATAATTTTTTTTATACAACTTAGAATCGCAAACACGCTGACGGCCCACTTGATGGAAAGTGGTAACTGTCGCTTATATACATGTGCAGTACCATGGACATAACAGTGTTTCGCCCATGATACCCCCCATACGTTGCCATTCCTGAGGATTCAGGTGTTATTCCTCTGTACCCTGTAAATTCACTGCCATATCGCATTCTTCAAACAGAAACATAGCTGTACAAACACAACTGCTTCACGATAGAAACAATGGGATAGAGGTACCCAAGCACTTTTGTACAAAGACTCTCTGTGGATATGTACTATATATTCTTATACTTCTTATACATTATATTATACTTCTCTAATATGTACTATAATTAGTAAAACTTTGTATTTTCGTATTTTTCACACGCAGTTGAACTTATTCATTTAGCCTGGAAAATAAATTTAATTATGTGGCACTTACTAATCTATACTAATTTAATTATTAAACTTTCAACACCGAATTTCAGTTAACGTCTCAACGTACCTAAGAGCGGCGCCTTTCGCCTCATTAAGTTTTCAGCACGTCCTGCCACTGAATATTCAGTCGACTCACATTTCTCATTTACCTATCACTATATTTACTTATAGCACTAAGCGACAATATACTAATACAAATAGGTATATATTGTTAACACGATGTTTCGTGTTATTTATTTATTTAATGTTTTATTGTACCAATATTACTGCAACAATAAGCACAATTTAGTACGAAATGCGGTCTTTTTGCTGTACAATCTCTTCTAGAGATTTTGGGCAAAAGAAATTAAAGAATGAATAAGTATTCATACTTTAAATTTTTTTAGGTGGTATGTAAATAAAAAAGAAATAAATGTAAAGCTAAACATATGTAAATAAGCACAATCATTATTATGCCTTTTTAAAAGGCCAGCAGCACACCTGTAATGCCGTTGGTGTTGTGGGTGATCCTGGGTGGCGGTAGTCACTTACCATCAGGTGAGACGCATGCTCGTTTACCTCCCGTGTTGTAAAAAATGTAAAAAAAAATTATTACTCGTTTTGTGTTTGACGTTTTTGATACCCGATGCCCTATAGAATCTAAGGTTATAAATACTGTTCTTAGAAATAACCTTAAGAAATCAATAGCTTCATAAATATATAAATTAATCTTCTTACGACCCCATGTATTTGCATGGATATTTGTAAAAATCACCCGAGGGTCCAATAGAGAGCACTCAAATCCGAGTAAATTTAGAAAACTTCCTCGGGCAAGAATGGAGCGCAGTATTATTGCGCGCCAAAACTTCGCACGAAAATTCGACGTATGGAAGAAAAAAGTTTTTATTCTAAATTCAAATATTTTATTAAAAAAAAAAAAACTTTTTGAAGCATTGTTTTTTTCTTTTTAGTTTTAGTCTCGGTGGTAGATGGTAATTTGTTAGAACCATAGAATAAGAATCATCATCACCATCTCAGCCATTATCTGTCTATCGCTGAACAAAGGGCTTTCCCATAGATTGCCATAAAGAACGGTCCTGAGCCACCTGCATCTACTAACTCCTTACAATACATTTGAGGTCGTCACTCCGTCTAGTGGAGGGACGTCCTACGCTGCGTTTGCCTGTACGCTTGGGTCGCCATTTAATAACCTTTCTTTCCTATCAGCTGTCGGTTCTTCAATTTATGTAACCAGCCCATTGCCACTTCAGCTTGCTTATACGTAGAAGAAGAATACAAGGTACAGTCTGTGATGAAAACTGCGAGATCGACAGCAAGTAGATATTTTTTTTATTCCATGAAGTATATAATATTTATACCACAGATGTAATATGTACATATAATGTACTCATATTTACATCCTATTTATTTATAAATTCTACAATTATTCTACAATTGTTTTGTGACTATTATTGAATCTTTGCACATTTATTTCGTAAATTTCCAGCATATAGTGATCACTCAGTGAACACACAGTGAATTAAATGTCTGTATATTAGGCGATCTGCACCGATTGGCATTTTCTAACTTTGTAAGCAGTTTCTGACTTTGTAAAAAGTGTTCTTTTTTATGATCGTATTATACAAATTTTATTTACATTTAAGTAAGAAATTTAAATAACAACTCAAGTGTATAATATATAATATTTTATTATTATGTTATTACATTTATATTTATATGTATCATATTTGACAGACAAAGCATAATATTATTGTTAAAGGTTTCTTAAGCACACATTATATTTTAATGTAATAACTAACGGTTCAACTTACGTGTAATTAGATTGAAAATGCTCGACTAGTTTCGGAATCAATTTGTAATCCTTAGTCATGAGCGACTGTCGTGTTCATACTTAAAGAGTTCCGAACACTGTCTTTTTTATATGAGTTGATGCCGCAGGCGCTTACAGCTCGCGCTCAGAGGCATGTAGCCAGGCTCGTGTTCGCGTCGGAATCGTTCATGACTAAGGTTTACGAATTGATTCTGAAACTAGTCGAGCTTCTTCAATCTAATTACACGTAAGTTAAACTGGTATTTATTCAATTAAAACATAATATTTTGTATTACTTATATTAAATTATTTAAATTAATATCTATGATAAAAAGTCGAATGTAATGTAATGTCGTTTTCACTTCGACCAATTTCTAACACCTTTTTAACAAAATGGTGTTACCTATTTTGGTACTTTATGATTGGCTGAACATGTTTTTTAAGTCTGATTATTTTTAATTTTTTTTAATTATGGGTACAGCAAAGAACATATTTTCAATTTTAGTTATACATAATAAGTATTCTATAAATAGAAAAATGCAAAAAAGGCGGATGATATTTCAAAATTGAGTATAAGAAAAAAGTCTATGCACTATAATCTAAGCTATGCACTTACATAGTTTTTTTATAAACTTAAACATCTCATAAACTTATTTAAGCTATTGAAGTGTTTTGTTTTCAGTTTTGAGATAAATTATCAATTGGAAAGAAAGTGACAAATCATGTCAATAATTAAAATGCGTTTGTATGAGGATTTTTAATTTTTATGAATAATTCTTAAATAACACTAGAGACAAAGCCAACATGAATCAATCCGGGATTCTTTTAGTTAAAAAAAAACATCCGTTTGTAGACAGTAAGCCAGCGTATTGGGGAGTTGGTTTGACTTTTAACCGCTTGATGTTCTTCCCAACACTCCAAATCTGAATGTGATCGTAATAAAAAAAAATCGATATAAATATATTAGATATACTAATATATTAAAATCACAAATATAATTTTGTTAATAAACGTTTTATCATTCAAGGTTTTCAATAGTTGATAATTTTGATTCTGGTTACAATGTTTTATGTTTTATAAAGACTTAGTTACCACTTGAGTTCCCGTATCTATCTATCTATTCATTTTTTGTTTTATATGTTGTTTTATATTTGAAAAAATGTAAATAATCAAATTGTATCATTTTATTCATTAATTTACGTGTGTTAAATGGCTCAAATAAAGTGTTTATCTATCTATCTATCTATCCGCAAGTATTATAAGTACATGCTTATAAAAAAGTAAATATCAAATCTGTTTCTAGAAATGCTCTTAGATTGAGAACTATTAGTACTTAATCTAAAACAAATATTGCCACTCCTTGCGATAGGATACAATGGAAATTATTAGAATCCTTTTTAGGAAAGAATTGTCAATAGTGGGATCTAACACCTTCATTACGGGGGGAAAGGGATTGTTAGTAATGGACACTGAGAATCCCATTGCTAGCAATATACCCAACCAGGTCGACCTCCTCGCGGTTAATTCCTGATGAATTCATCATGATGGGCTAACTGGCCTGTTTTTATTCTCATCTATCACCCTTCACTAATGTTCCGCCAGCGTATCCCGTTAGCGCAGGCGGGGTTACAATACCATTTTCACCCATCAAAAAAAAACCTCCATTACTAGTAATTTACCTACTAGGTCGACCTCCACATGGTTCCCCTTGGAAACCATTGTGGTTAATTCTTGTCGAATTCTTCACAATGGACCGACCGACCTGCCTTCATCTTTACCTATCGCCTATCACTGGTCCCACCCACTAGCGAATTACATCACATTTACATTGTGCCAGTCCTGGAATTAGGTAATTTTTTTTTTATAATAATAAATCTTTATTTCCAGCACAATGGCATTTCATTTTTTGATTTTACAAAATAAACAATACATAGTTTGCCATTGGGAGTGGACAGAATCAGTACTAGAATACCCTGTGTATTTTGGGCTCCACACACGACTCCTGGCTATACAAAGTACAGGTGAATAAACCATAATAAAAAAAAAGTAATCATATAAATAAAATAAGAAACATAAATTTAATCGTTACTATCTGAGTAAATGCTACAATCTACACTCGGTGTACCGCTGTAGCCACCTTCTCCCGTTGGCGCTGCGGTTGAGGTTGCCAGTGCACCCGTAACCACCGTTGCCGTTCACCATCATGTAGTCGAAGCAGTTGGTGATACCGTCGCCGTTGCAGTCCTGTAACATACGGCAGAGAACGTTCTAGTGCAATACTTGATGGGGTAAGCAGAAGCCATTATTGTCTGCTTCCATTGTAGTGAATGTAACATAGACATACATATTATTTCATAATTATATAATGAATATTTATTTATTTAACTCTTTATTTCACCAGAAACATAAAAATATACAATGACAATTAAACATTTCAAGTGAAGTAGTTACGAGTGATTCCTTTATTACCTATTTCTATATTTATTTTGTCCTACAAATTCAAATAACATTTTTTATTTCTTAAATAATTTAATATAGATATGTCAAGATACATGTGTGCGTAAGTGTGAAGAACATTGGTAAATAGACGAATCAGCTAATTAGAGAATAGCTGACAAAAAGTTGAACCGTTTTTGAGGCTCGATGCTCTATCTTATTATATATATATATATATATATATATATATATATATATATATATATATATATATATATATATATGATATATAATATGCATATTCTTTATTACACTAAAACATACAGTAATAACAAGAAATTATAACAATATTAGCAAAGGCAAACTTATCTTTAAAATTTCTTCCAGTCAACCTAACGCAGTGGCATAGGAAGTAGTGAGTGGGCAGTGGTATTGCAAAACAGAAATTAAAATAAATATTTACATAAATACATATTTACATATGATACATGGGAGATGGAAATAGAACCGTAAATAATAATTTTTGGAAATTTTGTCTGTCCGTACGTTTGTTCCGACATTACGCAAAAACTGTGGCACTAAACTTGATGACATTTTCACACATGTATTTCTGAAGGTTAAGACAGACCTTTTGTAGAACAGAAGTTTGGTATATGTTCAATCTCGATGTGCCCTCTTGAGGTCTAATTCATTTTTTTTACTTCTGAAATACATGCGTACGAAGTAGCGGGCAAAAACTAGTAATAACAATACATTTAAAATGTCAGATTAAGTTTATCATCATCATCATATCAGCTTTTAACTGTCCACTGCTAAATATAAGCCTCCCCCTAGGGGAGTAGTTTTGCCAGTAGTTGCCAAGCTTGGCAGGCTGATTGGCAACCGCAGTTAGGCTTTGGAGATCTTTTAAGAGTGACACTACTGCCCATCTCTTGCCTTCCTTTAGGTGTCTCTTACGACAGCCCCAGGAAAGGAAAAAAGCTTATTCTATGCTGGGACCACACGGCCAAGTTAGTAATATAAAATTCTTACCCTGCCAAATTTTATCAGGTAACCTTCGATAATAGACTTAGCGCAGTTATAATCCCTGGCGCAGTCCTTCCAAGCTGTGAATTTCAAAAATTTGTTTCAATTAGTATATAAAGTTGATAAATATAAAAACAATTAACGTTTTACTTCGCAAAAATGGCGACATGTTGATGTTCTTTTTTGATAAGTGAAAATGGTATGGTAACCCCGCCTGCGCTAACGGGATACGCTGGAGCAGCATCAGTGAAGGGTGATAGATGAGAATGGAAACAGGCCAGTTACCCCATCGTGATGAATTCATCAGGAATTAACCATGATAGTTTCCAGGGAGAACAGCGAGGAGGTCGACCTGGTTAGGTATATTGCTAGCAATGGGATGGGACGTCCTGTGATATCAAAAGTTTCTAGGCTGCCTCCATTGTACATGAAGGCAGTTAACATAATTTACTAGATGATTACTTATAACGATAGATTTTAAATAAATATGTCATTCTCTAAAACTTGTGACAATTTCACTTTTATTTTTTTAACGTTATCTACTAATATTTTGTAGTTGTAATATAAAATTAAAAACTTGATAATTTGGAGTATAACATGATACGAAGTGGACTGAACTACCATATATTGTTGATTTTAAGGAAAAAGTTTCCTTTTATCCTCCAATTTAGTTTTTTTAAATGCCATTTATTATGAATTCAAAAAAAAAAGAGAATACAAACTTATTTGAACTCCACTGGCATAAAAATAAATATCTATGAATATCAGAAACTACCAAAAAAAGACTTGGCCGTACGGTCAAACGACCTTTGCCTGACCCATCTGTAGAAAGACGGGATGAACATGGAAAAAATATTACGTTTCAAAAGTGACTAATATTTTAATTATAAAAAATGTAAATATAAACTTTTGGAATCCCACAGGCATAAAAATAAAATCCATCACACATCCACCCTATTGTGTTAATTTTCAATGCTGTAAATTTAAAATGAAATGGAAAATTACCATGGTTCCTTTCAGGGTCGTCCGCTGGGAACACGACCATCCCGGCATCAACCCAGTAGACCCTGGATATGTTGAAGGGTCCACAGTAGCCACCGGTGCAGTCGTGGCTGAGGTCGCATTTGGTGGATACATAACAGAGGCAGTTGTAGCAAGCTTCGTTCAAGTTCGTTATGTATATTCCTAAAAAAAGTCCTTGTAAATTTTTATTTGTAAGGCTTTCTGATATCAGGAAAGATTGGAGAGGAGAACATACTGTTATCTTTTTAATGTAAAATAAATGTAAGTAGAATGTGTCTATAATATATATATATATATATTTGATATATATTTGATTGAGTTTTGAGTTTATCAATTACAAACAAACAATAAAAAATTTTCCTCCTTATGATATTAGTCTAAATAAAGACAACAGTTAACATACCCGTCGACCCGGTTATCCAAAGGATGATCGCGCTCAAATAGCAGACTGGTAGGACGAGTGGCCACTTCGACAGCATGACGGTGACTGCCTCCACTGGAATATAAACGTTTGACAATTTTAAATACATTTCAGAACAAATAATAATTAAAGATTGAGCCCCACAAAAAAAAAAAAAACAACGTCATAAATCGGTCAGTTGTAAACCGATTTTGGATATTCAATTGTTATTTGAAGAGAAATAGATTGGTCCCATAGATATTTTATCAAAATTGGTTTATTAATTTAGTTTCTAAAATAACCAGTTTTGCTACAATTAAAGTAGGTAATTTCTTTTTTGTGAAACAAAATCTTAAAAATGTCAGCTATAAAGAAGCAGGTATGTAGGTACTATTTACCTGTAAAAGTTTTCACATCGTGTTGTGTATTTAAAAAAATTTAATTATTGAATTTTTAATTCACCGAATTTTTCTGTTAATATTGGTCCCAAGGAATTGTTAGTGATGGGACTAACAGCTCTTTTACCCTACCAGATCAACTTCGATGCGGTTCCCTTTGGAAACCATCTTGGTTAATTCTTGTGAAATTCTTCACTCATCATCTCATCAGTGTATACCGCAAGCGTGATTTGCCATTTTCAGCCACCAGAATATATATATATATATATATATATATATATATATATATATATATATATATATATATACTATTGTATAAGTAGGTCGTTAATTTTATTTATGTACGGCTAATGGCTTTTCGTGGCAAACAAGTATACGACCCGTCTGATGGTAAACGGGTGACACCAGTGATATCACGTGCAGCTTAAGAAACCTTATTCCGCCTTTTTTGAAGCACCTATACAATACACGTATTTATACTATAGATTTCATATTTAATAGTACGAGTACATTACTGCAGCGGCCAGCAACTGAGGCATTGATGGAGGAACGTACAAATGTGGGCCGAGGCGTAGACGAGGCACACATACGTGAGTCCATCAATGCGTAATTGTGGCCAAGGCTTGTATAGTACTTTTCTCAAACAATGCGCCGAAATCAAAAACATAATTTTACTTTTTAAGTTCAATGACGAATAACGAACAATAATAATTTTTCACGCGCCATAATGTTCCTTTGTTTTTTTTTTTTCAATAAACAGCTTTCTATTTGTAAGCTAGTTCGAAATTTAAATAAAACCTTTTACTAGTTACCTCCTTGGTAGCCATGTTTCGAAGTAAAAGGTCACTTCATTTTTAAATCACAGGACAGATATGAGTTTACATAGTAATTTATCTGGCCGCAAAACACGACAGATATGGATTTTCATATAACTTTTGCCGGCTGCTGCCCGCATGTATCTGGCCAGTACGGCAATTTTGATTTATCTCTAAGAAGATTGTCAAAATAATGCTCACATTTCCAAGCATGTTTGAGAAAATTATATTACATGCAGTAAATGTATGTAGATGAGTACTATATACAAGTGATTTAATGACCTGCAATTATTCCCACGATAATATAAGACGCAATATAGGTAGGTACGTATCTATGTATAATGAATGCCTTGTAAGTTGCATAGACGGATGGCGGAGTCGGAGCGTACATTTTCAACCGACTTTGACAAAGAGAAGATTCTTAATTCGTCTGTAATTTTCGTGTTCATGGTGTATCTAAAGTCAATTTTAGATGATGTCTTTTTAATAATAAATATAAGAGAAAATACATTTTGAAATTAATTTGTATGATTATCAACCGACTTCAAAAAGAAGAGGTTAGGAGGAGTACAAAGAGTGTATATATATATATATATATATATATATATATATATATATATATACGAGGTCTGTCCGGAAAGTTCGTATAAAAGTGTTCTGGAATGCGAGAAAGAGGAGTGGGGAGGCCAGGTAAGCGCAGGACCCCTTCCTTATGTCCCTAACAATGCTTCAGTTCTGGTCTGACCGCCGTGCGGTGCGAACTGGCTTGTCACGCCATCTGTGAAGTTACCTCTTAACGAAACCCCGTCGGCATGGAGCCCGCTTCCGTTGAAGAGCAGCGCGTCGTAATCAAGTTTCTCTCGAAACTCGGCAAGAATGGCCGTAAAATTTTTGCCGATCTCAGAACAGTTTATGGGGATGATGCTGTGAAGGAACCAACCGTCCACAAGTGGCTAAAAAGATTCAGAGAGGGCCGAGAAAGAGTTCGATGTTCGGGGGATTGTCCATCAAGAATTCGTCCCTCCAGGCCAGACAGTTGATGGAAAATTCTACGTCGATGTGCTCAGACGCCTCAAAGCTCGTGTGGCACGAGTTCGTCCAGAATTGGCGCGAGAGGGGCGTTGGATTCTTCACCACGACAATGCCCCTGCCCACACCTCTCTTGTTGTCCGTGAGTTTTTGAGTAAAAATTCCATTACGGTGACCGAACACCCCCCTATTCGCCGGATTTGGCCCCGTGTGACTTCTTCTTGTTCCCAAAAACCAAATTGGTACTTCGGGGGCGGCATTTGGGGGACATAAATGAGATAAAAAAAGCTACGACGGGGCAGCTGAGAAACCTACAACCAGAGGACTTTCAAGGAGCCTTCTCACAGTGGAAACGGCGTTGGCACAAGTGCATTATGTCACAGGGGGAGTACTTTGAAGGGGATAAAATTGATTTACCCGAATAATTGTAAAATAAAATTTTTAAAAAACTTTTATACGTACTTTCCGGACAAACCTCGTATATATATATATATATATATATATATATATATATATATATATATATATATATATATATATATTTTTTTTTCATTTAAATTTAAAACTTATTTTATCATAAAATACATAATAGAAGTTTATTATAAAAACGAATACCCTATGATTCATTTATGTATGAGGAAAGATAAAATTGATTTATTACAATGCATGTACCACTACGTTGAGTTAATTAACTCGTGGTATGCACAAAGGAAGGTTGTTTTGTCAGTTAATATAATTTGAATAATTTTTTTATACAACTTAGAATGGCAATCAAGCTGACAGCCCACCTGATGGAAAGTGGTAACCGTCGCCTATAGATATGAGCAGTACCATGGACATAACATCCATCCGTGTTTCAACCGTAGAGCAGTTGTGTTTGCATGGCTGTGTTTCGGTTTGAAGGGTGGGATATGGCGTGAATTTACAGGGTGCAGAGGAATAACAGCTGAGTTCTCAGAAATAGCAACGCATGAGGGGTATCATAAGCGAAACAATATACTCTGTTATGTCTATGGTACTGCTCATGTCTATAGGCGACGGTTACCGCTTTCCATCAAGTGGGCCGTCAGTTTGTTTGCCATTCTAAGTTGTATAAAACAAAAAAAAGTACTGGGGTAAGTGTAAACAGCTGCTCTCGTAAGGAGCGTGGTCGATCATGCATAACAAGTGATGTATCGTGTTATACAGGTTGTGAACTGGGAGAATTAAACGAGCAATCGGTACGGTCAGCATCGATTAGCTGTAAATACGAGTATAATAATTTTTAACGTTGCGTAGTTAATTTGCTAATCGTGCTTTTTCTATCTAATTACACGTAAGTTAAATTGGTAGTTATTACACAAAAATAGATGATACATTATAAGAAACTGAGATCCTCCTTTAAGAATAAATTATGATTAATATAAAAGTGAGATTTAGACATGTTGAAGCATATAATATTGCGTAAAACAGTAGCTCTATAGTTAGTAACAGATTATAGGTGAATAAAATTGTAAATTCATATAAAAATAGAATAACTATTATACATATACGTAACTCACTGACTCAGCTTAAACGTACAAAGTTGACTTTTTTTTTTAAATACAACTTTTTGTTTTTTTTATACAACTTAGAATGGCAAACAAGCTGACGGCCCACCTGATGTAAAGTGGTAACCGTCGCCTATAGACATGAGATACAATCAACTCAGTATTGTTAATTGTATTGTAAAATTGTATTTTTGTGACTTTGTTGCTGACAGTACATATATAACGTGCATGCTGTGGACAAACTAACTTTGACGAACTCGTTATTGAACTGTCCGGTTTTATAAACCACGGGATGAATAGTTTAGTTTTTTTTTGTATATTTCTACCTTTTGTATAGTTGTTCAGTATGAAATAATTGACTGGTCGCCTACTGTAACAATGTATGGCTTTTGAATAATAAATTTGATAAAAAAAATAGATTTTTTTTTTTTATATTTTTATTAAATGTATGTTACAATAAACTACATGGTACAGATAAAGAAAACACCAGGTGCCAAGTCGTATAGTGAGGTCAAAGATATGGGAGAAATAGAGCTGGCTGGAAGAGAATGCATAAATTAGTTGCACCGACAAGAGGAAACTGTTAAATGAAAAAAGAGATATTACAAAATAAATTATAGTAACAATTGTTTTGGAAATCAATCAGGTTTATTTCCGTGTCGATTCTATGAAGTGTTAAGGAGTCGGAAATATCTTAATTATTTATATTATCATCATAATATTAGCCGTTAACTGTTCACTACTGGACATAGGCTTTCCTTATGAGGAAGTGTTTTACCAGTAGTCGCCACACTTGGCAAGCGGGTTGGCAACCGCAGTTAGGCTTTGGTGATTTTTAAGAAGGATGTTGCTCCCCGTGCCTCGACTATTAATTATCCTTAGTCGCCTTTAACGACACCCACGGGAAAGAAAGGAGTGGCCTATTCTATGCCGGGACCACACGGCGGGGAACTAGTAATTACTATTTATTATTTTTTTCGTTCATTATCTTGGTTCCTCATAACACAAGGTATTCTAGTTTTGGGAAAGGGATTGTTAGTAATGGGGTCTAACAGCACCATTGCTAGCAATGTACCCTGTCAGGTCGACCTCCACGCGGTTTCTCCTGGAAACTATCATGGCAAATTTTCATGGAATTCTTCACGATGGACTAACTGACCTGCTTTCATCCTTAGATATCACCTCTCACTGGTGCTCCGCCAGCGTATACCGATAGCGCGGGCGGGGTTACTATTCCATTTTCACCCATTAAAAAAAAGGTATTCTAACTTGAGAAAGAAAGATGTGGCCCGATCTATGTCGGAATCACACTGCAAATTACTTATATATTTATATAAATATAGAGTGAAGACATTTGATTTCTGTAGGCCATTTCTAAAAATATGTCTTATGAAAGATATTATTTTACACTGTGTAACATTTCAGAATGCATCCATAACTTCATAAATTGAAATGATCCTGTGTGAATTTTATTTTATGAATGGCAACTTCGCTTGCACTATCGGTATACGCCGGTGGGGCATCAGTGAGAGATGATAAGTGAGGATGTAGCAGGTTAGTTAGCTCATCGTGACAGTTTAAATTTTAAATTAACCACGATGGTGTCCAGGGGAACCACGTGGAGGTTGATTTGACAACATATATTGGAGCCAACGTGTATTCCTTTCTAACCATGGTGGTTTCTAGGAGGACTACATGCACGTCAACATTGGGACTCTACCATGATATGAAATTCCAAATTATCAGTTTCAATTTCTTAGTTCCGTTCAAACAGCAATCAGTCTAGTAATTGGTGCTTAACGTTTTGTTCAATAAAATTTCAATGAAACGATATTTTATCATTTTTAATATTTTTAAATGGTGTGGTGTTATGTAATTTTCACATCAAATTTGTGTTTCGTTCGGCCTCGAAATTATGCAAAACATTTCATGGTAGGCCCTCTGAATATTAATGGCAAAATATCTTGTATTGGTATTAAGGGGGTCATTAGTTTCCATTACTAATAGTTCTCCCCTTACTTATGTAAATATTAGTACAATATACTCTTTACTATCTTGTAATAAATACTAATATTACAATATATATATATTTACGTGTTTGCAGTGAGGCTTTCGCAAGATAGCTATCGATGAATGGAACTTTGAATGAAAACTGATACAGAGGTTTGACAGATGGCATAAAAGCAAATAGTAAATCACAGAGACATTGGACAGGTAGCCGAAGGAATATATGTATATTGTGTTACTGAAAATGATGAGTATTGGTTGTTTGGCATTACGTACAGTTCATATCGTGAGTACGAATCGCCTATTTGTTCTTTTTTAAGGCCTTTTGCGCTATTTACACCATGATATTTTTATTTATCGCCGTGTGTTCCCCAGCATAGAATGGGCCACCCCTTCCTTTCCCGTGGGTGTCGTAAGAGGCGACTAAGGGAGGGCGAGGGATGGGCAGCAGCGTTCCTCTTAAAATGCCTTTAAAAGCCTAACTGCGGTTACCAGCCCGCCTGCCAAGCGTGGTAACTACTGGCAAAATCTTAAAATGGAAGGCTTATGTTCAGCAGTGGACAGTTAGAGGCTGCTAAGATGATTCAAACCGACATTTGTTTACTCCTACTAAATTTTATTATTATTATAGCTTTTTATCCAGTTCAGTGGTCCCCAAGGGTAAAAGCCTCCTCCATCTTTTTCCACATCTATAGCAATATTTGTCCAGTTTTTTCCAGCTGTCTTTATTATGTCATCAGCCCATCTCTTTCTTTGCCTTCCAACATTTCTTTTTCCTGCTGGACCTCGCCATTTTGTTGTTTGGAGAGTCCACCTTTTATCTTTGTACTTCACTATATGACCTGCCCATCTCCACTTCTGTTTCATACTATACTGAAGAGCATCTGTTATTTTGGTTTTTTCCTACTATTTATTTTATTGCATAAAATATATGTAAAATTATTGACAGATTTTTAGTAAACATGTTTATGAAATGGCCACGAGGAGTTTTGATTGTTTTTGCCGCGCACTCTGGTGCAAGCTGTCACGTAAGTACGTGTGTAATATATTTATATATTATATTTATAATAATACTGAACTATTCAAACAGTGGTCCCAATCGCTCCATTAAAAAGTATTTGGGCGATTCGTACCGTAGTTTGCATTGAATTAATGAATAAGTAGGTATCTTATCTATACTTTATTTGCATTATACAATATAGGGAAAAAGCAAGACAATTAATATATGTAACGATACAATTGCATAAATACAGTAAGGCGGCCTTATTGCTGAAAGAAATTTTTTCAAGTTAACCTTAGGGTAATGGTTACATTGTTTTACAAGTAGGTATGATTGTATTGTATAATTGCTTAATCGAACTTCTTAAGTGAACTAGGTTCAAAACGCCTCTCAAATTTCACTGTATGGCTCAAAACTGATCTAAAGTATAAGAAACATGATTTATATATAAAAATATACGTACACCACCAACTTATACTGTCAGTCACCCCTATGGTAAGGGTTAACCCTACAATGCATTCTGTACCATATCTGGTCAAATAAAATAATTAAGTCTACTGTTCGTTTAAAGACACCTAGCGTCATTTGTCGACCGACAGAATAATCTTTATACATTTAGCAACGGTTTAGTAACGGCAATTGTCACCAGTACGTGTTAGCTATCGATTGATATTGTATTTCGTACACAATTTCAAAGATCGACGCGAACTCGTGGTTTACGTAAATAGAAAATTCTTAAAAAAATAGCTTTTTGAATATTTGGAAGCGGAAAAAATACATTTACATTGGAAATAGTGTATATTAAATGAAGGTAAGTTATTTTTTGAAATATTACTGTTTTATGTTCTAACATATCAACTTATTTAAGAGTACCAGATATGGCACATCATGCATTAGTTCACTTCTAACATTTTGTTTCGGTTGGATTTTATTACAGATTATGGTGAAGAAGGTATTATCTAACGAGTTGATTGAGCAGTATTTAGGTATACCGTCAGGGAATGCAGACGGTCAAGGCTTTTGGGTGTGGAAAATGATGATAACATGGCGAGAATCAGAGAAAACTTGCACCAAATGAATAAAGATAGTGACTCTTAAAATTATATTGAGCCTACCAGGTATGCATCATTTTCTTCTACTAATTGTGGTACTACCTTCGCTGAAAATGAGAATGAAAAATCAACAAATTCTCAAGCTAGCATTTCAGGGCCAAGTACGTCATGACACCAAAGTAGAAGTTTTTTCACTATGCCAGTTTTGGAGTTCTTTCTTGGAAAGTATAAAATAAAAATACATACTAAAAGATGGTATCTGCGTTTATTTTAACATTTTCTAGATATTGTCACCATAAATTGCTGGCTGCTGCACAAAAGGGTAAGAGAATAAAAGAATGACCTAACTCAGATTAAATTAAAACATTTTAAACTGGAAATCGCTAAAAGACTTTGTATGAGTGGTCCATCGTTACAAAGAAAAAGAGTAAGATCGCCTTCTACCACAGATGACATGATCGAGAAGAAGAAAAAAAGAGTAATCCTTCCCCCTCGAGATGTAAGATTTGATAAATTTGATCATCTTCCTATATGGAATGAGAAGAGACAATGCTATAAGTATCCACAATGTAAAGGAAATACATATATATTTTGCGAAAAATGTTGTGTTAAGTTGTGTTTAAACAAAGACAATAATTATTTTAATAAATTTCATTCATAAATAAAGCTATTCTTAATGTAAAACTAAATATATGATTATGTTCATTGTTCCTAATTAAAATCCAAATATTAGTGTTAATGCATACAGTACCACATATGGAACAGAATTGAAAAACTAAATATCTACAAAATCAATGAATTTTAATTGTTATTATTATCATTTACTATGTCTAGACACTATATAGAACCACATATATTTTTTTGACACGATTTAAAAAAATCATGCATTGTAGGGTTAAATACCAACAACAGCATTCCCAAAAAGGGTTTGTGTTTGGCAGGTAGCTGGCTATAAAATCACGACAAATTCTTTAGCTGTATAGACATTGTGAACACGATGGGAAACACTTATAAATATATTTTTTTTATTATTTAAATCGCGTTTTTAAGGTAAAACAAAAAAGTAGGAAAGACAAAAGGATATACCTAAACATGTTTTAAGGTTTCAACAGAAAAAAAAAACTATCACTTCATTTTAATACATCCTTCTTGTTACAGCCTTTTTCAACTTTATAACACAACAAGGAAACGGTCTGATAATTATCTCATATTATGATAAAATTAATAATACACAATCTTTACCTTGAACTATAATTACATATAAACACGACCGCAGTCACTATCGACGATACAAGTCGACCACTACTCAGTTTCGATCTCGACACTGAACTGTTTATAGTAACACCATGTATTAGGATGTAGTTGTGTCGAGTTCGCGTAAAATCAGGTTTTTAATGCAGAAACGGGTTAATAAAAGCCTTGGTAATGACCCTAGGTAGTCTTAGGAATGCTAAAATTGTTATTGATTTGTAATAACAAGCACTGGATAGGTAATCACTATGTTTTAGTAATGAGCTATTCTTTGTACGTTGTAGCGCGATGCGAGTGACAGTAATGCCTTCAAAAAGGAAGAGATTCGTAATTTGTTTTTTTTTTATTTATTTACACTTTATTGCAGCAGTTAAATAGAGTCAATTTTAATGTGATGTGATATAAAAGGCAGTCTTATCGCTGAGCGATTTCTTCCAGATATGCCTTGGGAATAGGATATTAAGAAAGAAGATAAAGGGTAAATGGTGCCCTATAATGTAATACATACATATATATAAATGATTTTGGTTTCTATTTTCTTTTTGTTTGAAATATCACGCGATGTCTTCTTTTTGTAATAGGTAGGGTTTACTCCCATACTCATACTAATTTTGTAATGAATGAATCTGGCATTTTTCTTTGCGAAAAAAAAACTGCTTGTTGTGAAGCGAACTCATGTTGATACATGAATTTGTATTTCATATTAATAATTAAATTGTGTTTAAAAAAATTCAGTTGTGGTTAAACTAGTTATTTTTATTTAAAAACTAAACTGCTGAATCGATTTTGATAAAATTTCTACGGCACGAATCTGTAAACATATCCTTTCAGATAAAAGAAGAATTTTCCAAATCGGTTGATAACTGACGGAGTTATGTAGTAACAAATATTAAAAAAATTAAATCGAATTGAGAACTTCACTTTATTTGAAATCGGTTGAAGATAGAAATATAATGTGTTTTTTTTTTTATACCACTGAGGTGGCAAACAAGTATACGGCCCATCTGATGGCAAGCGGTTACCGTAGCCTATGAACGCCTGCAATATCAGGTATTAAGCGCGTGTTGCCGAGCTTTCGAAGAATATCCCCTTTTGAAGAACCCCATGCTGTAGTCTTGGGAAAACCTCAGTTTATAAAACATTTATTTTCGAAAAGTGCATAGGTGTATGGACTATTCGCAAGGTAGTGTATCTCATTTATTTTAAAATAAAAATGTAATAAGATTACTAGTTGCTGTTTTCTTTACAAAGAATAATTTCCTTATTATAAAAGTATTGTACAGTACTCGTATTTAACGAGATCTGAAATTGAATTCAGTCTAAAAATCAGTGATACTTTCTCAGAATCAATTATTTTGTTGAATCCATTGAAGTTCGTAAGTTACTTCCTAGTATTTCCTTTTTCTATGAATTTCGTGACCTCTCTTCCGCACCATGCTATAAACTTATGTAGTATATTTAAATTTACTATTATTCAAATGAGAATTCTAATCTAGTATTTAATGTAATAGTCTAAATTTCACCTTTTTAAAATGTTACACTCAAGTTAGGAAACGATTAAATAGACATGAACGAGATTTGGCGCAACATTATATCGAAGATAATAAACTGTTAATATCGAGATTGTGATTATTAACTGTTGAAATTGCAATTATTAATTGTTGGGTTTGTGATTAATAACTGTAAAGTTTGAAATTATTACCTATTGAGTTTGAAATTTTTACCCGATGAGTTTGAAATTATTGAGTTTTCAGTTTAAGATTATTAATTGTTGAGTTAAAGATTATTAACGATTGAGATTATTAACTGTTGAGTTTAAGGTTATTAACTGTTGATTCTGAAATTATTATCTATTGAGATTGAAATTTATAGCCTGTTGAGTTTAAGATTATTAACGGTTGGGATTGAGGTTATTAACTGTTGAGTTTAAGGTTATTAACTGTTGATTCTGAAATTATTATCTATTGAGTTTGAAATTTTAAGCCTGTTGAATTTAAGATTATTAACGGTTGAGATGGAGATTATTAACTGATGAGTTTAAGGTTATTAACTGTTGATTCTGAAATTATTATCTATTGAGTTTGAAATTTAAAGCCTGTTGAATTTAAGATTATTAACGGTTGAGATTGAAGTTATTAACTGTTGAGTTTACGGTTATTAACTGTTGATTCTGAAATTATTATCTATTGAGTTTGAAATTTTAAGCCTGTTGAATTTAAGATTATGAACGGTTGAGATTGAGGTAATTAACTGTTGAGTTTAAGGTTATTAACTGTTGATTCTGAAATTATTATCAATTGAGTTTGAAGTTTATAGCCTGTTGAATTTAAGATTATTAACGGTTGAGATTGAGGTTATTAACTGTTGAGTTTAAGGTTATTAACTGTTGATTCTGAAATTATTATCTATTGAGTTTGAAATTTTAAGCCTGTTGAATTTAAGATTATTAACGGTTGAGATGGAGGTTATTAACTGTTGAGTTTAAGGTTATTAACTGTTGATTCTGAAATTATTATCTATTGAGTTGAAATTATTGCCTGTTGAGTTTTAAATTATTAACGGTTGAGATTGAAATTATTAATTGTTGAGTTTAAGATTATTAACTGTTATGTTTCTTGTAATTTCTTCTCGATAGGTAACTTTCCAAATTTACAGTAGAATAACAAAAGACGATTTAAAAGAGCGTTTATAGAAGCTCACTTAAATTAAGTTTATTTTTATATGATATAATAGGCCTTTTTTATCATAATTTAGGTATACAGGGTTGCTGTATAAAGTTAGCTTTGAAATAATAACCTCTTTAAAGGGCATCGTGGTTAGAGAGACGTTTGGTTAAACAATTTGAGACGTGTCGGAATAAATTTACATCTTAGACGTTGAACGATCGGATATCATTCGCAGCTGTTCCGTTTGATAAATTGAATAAATCAATATCCTTACTGATATTATAAATGTGGAAGTGATTTTGATTGTTTGTTAACGCTTTAACCCTACAATGCATGATTTTTTTAAATCGTGTCAAGAAATATATGTGGTTCTATATAGTGTCTAGACATAGTAAATGATAATAATAACAATTAAAATTCATTGATTTTGTAGATATTTAGTTTTTCAATTCTGTTCCATATGTGGTACTGTATGCATTAACACTAATATTTGGATTTTAATTAGGAACAATGAACATAATCATATATTTAGTTTTACATTAAGAATAGCTTTATTTATGAATGAAATTTATTAAAATAATTATTGTCTTTGTTTAAACACAACTTAACACAACATTTTTCGCAAAATATATATGTATTTCCTTTACATTGTGGATACTTATAGCATTGTCTCTTCTCATTCCATATAGGAAGATGATCAAATTTATCAAATCTTACATCTCGAGGGGGAAGGATTACTCTTTTTTTCTTCTTCTCGATCATGTCATCTGTGGTAGAAGGCGATCTTACTCTTTTTCTTTGTAACGATGGACCACTCATACAAAGTCTTTTAGCGATTTCCCGTTTAAAATGTTTTAATTTAATCTGAGTTAGCTCATTTTTCTATTCTCTTACCCTTTTGTGCAGCAGCCAGCAATTTATGGTGACAATGTCTAGAAAATGTTAAAATAAACGCAGATACCATCTTTTAGTATGTATTTGTTCGCGACATTATTGTACATGTGTAATTATAGCGATATTTATAGCAATGTTTATAGTTAGTTGTTAAGTCCCTTGTTTAATCGTTTTTGTATACTGTTATTTTATATAGATTTTACATAGATTTAAGATACCTATAGTGTAAGTCAAATAAAGCATTCTTTACGTGTCGTTATTATTACCTGCGAATAGAAATAGAAATTGTAAAAACAAATAAGAAATTGTAAATTGTGATAAATAAATAGACGCTATAGGGTACCGATCTGAAGAGACACGCACTCGCCCCGTCCCGCTCGCACAGATTCGCTAACGCAAGTTAGAAATGTTATCGTGCGAGCGGGCGGGTATAAAGATAGGCCGCCTCCCGTCGAGCGGCATTCGCTTCCGAGCAGCGACGCACTACACTCTCGAGAAGAAATAGGACAAGAAGAAAAAATACTCTCTTCTGACGGTACCGGAGGCTTCAGAATAGTAATCGCTGTGTTTCACTCCAGCCTGAACCAACGCCCCTACAGTCCACGCTCACCGTACGGCAGTCCACACCGTACATTCGTGGTCCTTCGAGAAGCCGGATTGCTGGAGAAACACCGTTGGTCCTTCGAGAAGCCGGATTGCTGGAGGAACACCGTTGGTACATCGAGAAGCCGGATCGCTGGAGGAAGACCATTCTGAAGCCGGATCGCTGAAATGCCGACTACGAGAAACATGAAGTCGTCGCAGCAGAAAATCGCCGTCACCGAAGCCACAACGTCCGCCGCCACCACGTCGACTACGGCCGCCGGAATGCTGTCCGTCGCTGCCACGCCGTCCGTTGCTGCCACCACGTCGTCTGCGGCTGTCAGAACGTCATCTGTCGCTGCCACGTCGTCTACCGCCGCCACCACATCGACTACGAACACGTCCGGCGATACGACGACCACAGGAGCCACGGAGACTACCGAAGCCACAGGAACGACAGAGGAGACAGCAAGGAAGAAGGAACCGAAGCACGGCACGGCACGCACGGTTCGCACCACGGCCTCGCAGAAAAAGAAGGCTCTGGCCAAGGCACGGGAGGAGCTACTTCGAAAGGAGGTGGAATTGGCTGCTGCACGTGTCGCCGCCCTGGAAGCCGAATCGGAGGACGACGAGGAAATAGAAGACGACGACGCTACCGTCAGAAGAGAACGAACGTCGGATTGGGTTCATCGAAGCACGCTAGCACTCACGATGGAGCCGCATGTACCAGAGATAGAAGAAGTCACCGGCAAGCGTCAGGGGTTCGTCCCATCGAGACCCGTTGAAGAGGATTCGAGAGCGCCGCCGCCACAGCCGAGCAGCGACGCACTTCACCGGGACCACGCACGCCACGTTGACCCACATGCCGCCATTCCTACGATAGCAGCAGCGATGCAGTCGATGAAGAAAGAAGAACCGGTGCTGAAGGTGGGCATCGATTGTAATGAGTTTGCGGTCGCCATGCAGATGGCCGCTCGCAACATACTGCCCTCCACAGCGTCAAG